TGTATTTGGAGATAATTTCTGTTTCGTTTTAGTATTCATTAATTGTATCAGTTCACAGTGATTCATAGACTGCAAAAGTAGTATCTATAAAACATCGGGACTTTAATTTTGAAGACAGTTTTACTCATTCACAAAAGTTCTATTTTCTGTGTTTCGTGATCTTCTCTAGCTCACGTTAAGGAACGGCTGAGGTTATTGCATTGTCTATTAACCTTTGGACCGAACTCCTAGGTTTCTCAGTTCTCCATGCAGTATCATTGCACGTCCACCGGGGGCAGCCTTGCAGTAAACACAGAGCAGATCGGAGACTGCGACATGCGACCAAGGCTATTAGAACTGCATCTTTCAGCTCTCACTGGATGCTTCAGAGATGCACCAATCAGAGATACCCGTTAACAAAAGGAACCAATGTGTCTCTTCCAGGTGGTGATCTTTCAGGGAAGACAGGGGAAGGTGATAGGGGGCAATATGTGGCTCGGCGCGTGTCCGTAATTGAAAGGTCATTGGTTCAGATACCAGGGTCAGCAGAGTGATTTCATCGTTGGGCTCTTTACAAAGCTCTTAACTCAAAGCTGCTCCAGGGAATGCCTGACCCTACATTTTTGGGGGAAAAACAAAAAGGTCAGGCTAAACAAATGAAACGTAAAGGATGGGGCAGTTAGGCCACTGACACTAAGAGCAGGCAGAGGTGACCTTTCCCAGTGGTTCTAGCTGAGATGTAACGCACATCAATAAGTAAGCTCACAGTGAAGTCCCCCCCCCCCGGTAATCCACCGTTAGAGTGTCTGCTGCAAGGACGGCCACCACCCAGCCAAGCAGCGGTGTGATCTGGCCAAAATAGTAGAGGAATTAACCAAAGAGGCTTGTTCCAAATGCTGGGAAGGGACTGAGCTCCCAAACAAGCTTTTACAACCAATAACCTCGTAACATTAACTTAATGTGCACCCGCGACAGTCATGTTGATGGGTTGACACCCCCTTTTTGACCAATCAAAATAGGCTTCACAAAATATTCTACTGAAAATACAAATTAATTATAACCACAAAATCTCTTCCACAGTGTTACACCCAACTTTTAAAATCATTAAAATTATTTCGTAAAAGTGCATGTTGGTATCCACCATGACTTAGAACTTAGATTGCTTATTATTTGTGGAACTAGTCTGAAGTCCTCTGTATACAGTGCATGCTGTTGTATATTGAATACAGTTACGTAATGGCATTATTTTCAAAGATATATCACTGATGAAGAAAGATTAGGTTTAGGAAGACTGAGTACTCCAGGAAATTATTTTTTTCGAAGTGTTAAACTCTAACTTAATTTTATTTTATTGGTGGAATTAATTTCAGTAAAATGTTATTTTTCATTTAGAAACTACAATCCAGAATCCAGGTGATATATCAAAATTTAAATAAATTAAATGCATTATACCACAGCATTGCCGAATTTCCGAATCTGATCAGAAGGATGTTTATTAATTTTGTATAACTGCACACATAGTGCCAGCGAGGTGAATCACAGTAGTAAATCAATGCGCAATTATGATCTTTAATTCTAACTAATATTAACTAATTCCAGATGTAGAATACAATTTGAAATTAATGGAAACTAAAAGGAAATGTTTAACCATTGGTGGAAGAAAGCGGCACGATGATGAATCCTTTATTTGCCATTTCCATGTACATTGGAACACTTCTCTTCACCTATCCTATCTTGCTCTCCATAGCATGGGGGCCCCAGCGCAGGCTCAGCCAGCATGCAGCACCCCAGCAGCTGGGGGCTAAGGGCCTCGCTCAAGGGCCCACAGACATGTGCCCGTTCTGCCGAGGCCAGGGCTTGAGCCGGTGATCCCATGAACATGGGCACAGAGACTGAACCACTAACTAATATGTGTAAAAAAAAATGTGCAAGAGATGGCTTGTTTTGCTTTATTTCTTACTTAAGGATAGTTAGCAGTCTTTATTGACTAGTGCTGCACAGGCCTCTGCAGACACTGGCACCCGGAGTAGGGTCCCCTACAAGCACTATGCCCTGCCACAGACCATATCTAAAGCCGACATAGGTAAGCAATGCTCACTGATTCATATCCCGAGGCCTCATTGGTTACGCTCATCCTGTGACCAGGGGCAGGAGAACGGCAGGAGGCACTAGGTCCATAAGCAATCCCAAGTGCAGTCCAAAAGATACAGAGGTGCTTTCATAGTCACCAAAATGATAAAGCGTGAAATAAAGTAGCTAAACCCACATCCAAGTCAACGCCTTTTACTGTGTATGACACCCAGAGAAAAGCAGCATGGGAAAACCCACCCATCTACAGAAACCCTGACGCTATATGCGATGATGGGAATGGACAAGCAGGAGTAACTGCTGGGGGGGGGGGGGGGGTGGCAGTGTTCCCTCCCCCATATCTCCCACCATCATGTCAAGAAGGAGGTGGAGAAAGTCACCGGGTCGTGACAAATATTTCATAACAAATGTATTTGGAGAAGCTCCAGCCATTATTGGCCCAGGAAAGTACCACGACCGAATCACACTGCCGCTGCTTGCAGGAAACAGAAACCCAGACTCATCGGGCACTACCATGGCACCATCAGTTTGTTATGATAAGTGCCTGGAGAGCAGAATTTAAAGGGGAACACACTTTGATACCCACTCAAAGTCCACATTCCGCTTCCCCTTAGCGTTTTGATAAGTTCTGTAGCTATGGGAAGACAGGAGGTGGACAGTGTCCACCCAAACGGATTGTCTACTCACCTAACAGGGACAGACCCAATTTAACCAATCATTAGTGATTCAATAGAATCGCTGCTGCCCACCTGCAGCGGTCAGTAACTTTTACTGTCGCCACCTCGCCTGGGTCGACAACTATTACCCACTGGGAGACCCCTCAAGACCTCACAATTCAAACACTGGTGCGCGTCCAACATACGAAAATACGCACCCCAGGCTGGCCACTGTCAAGAACCTAAAAGCATTGCGATTTCTCTCAGCCCACAAAACAGCCCTGCCTTGGGCGCTCCCATCCCCACCGTCCAATCTTAGGATAATGCATCTACGCAGATTTGTGGCTGATTTACACGGACATCCAGACAGGGGCTGGGCCAGAGGGTGGCGGTATCCTTATTGAGATTCTGCACCTTCCTGCAGACCGCTGCAGCAAGCTAAAGGGCAATGCATTATTTACACCTCCATGTCCCCCGGGGCAGACAGGTGGGTGGGCTAAGCTGGAAGAAAAAGCTATGTAATGAGAGGCTCTTAAAAACCGGGTCATGAATATTCAAGGACGACCAAAATGTCAAGAACAACCGAAAAGCATCAACAAGTTCACGGTAGACGGAGAGACAAAGAGGTAGAGTGATGGAAAGAGTAATTTCTGCTGTTGATTTTAACTTGAGGGAATGTAGCAATGTACTCCATCTTGGCGGTTGGCTGTTATGGTTACTATATGACCGTACATACATCTCTCTGGTCATGACATTTTCTACAAAGCCAATGATACACATTGAGATTCCCGATGCAGAAATCAAGGAAGACTTCCGTGCTGAACAAGGGGGTGTCAGACTGGCAAGGGGTGTCCAAATGTGAAAATGATTCAAGAGGTTAGTTGGTGACCAAGCAGGCTGGGCCATGATGCTTGAGGTCGGAAGGTCGATGGAAGCCAATGTAGTGTTTCAATAAACTGAGCGTTGAAAGGACTTCTGGGTCAGTAAAAAAAGGCCGTGAGGACAACCTCAGTCTAGATCAAATTCCCCGAACATCAATCCTCAACTCCCCCACAGAATCAGAGTCTGAGGAACCGGATTCTTTCAGCTGGGCGGATAATTAGCCAGATGCTTTAGGGACAATCTGGCATCGGCTGCTCTGGCGGGGAAGGACGGCTGCAGCGAGCAAACGATGACGGAACTGACTGACATTCACAAAAGAAATCCTTCATTTCCAAAAGTTTCACTTTTAAAAGTGCTCAGTCACATCCTAACATAAAATGACACTGTTAGGTTAGGGGGAAACAAAATAAATAAAATTTAAAAATCCACAAATTCCTTCCACTCTTTGAACCTTCAGCTGTAGGTACAGCCTCACGTCAAGCGAAAGCTTGAATGCTCCCATTTTGGGGGCGCAAAAAAAAAGGTTCTTGTCAGTTTTTAACATTAGAGGAGATGACAGACTAAAATAGAATTGAGTTATGCAGCTTCCGCCGTAAAATAAATAGATAAATAAGAAATAAAACCGAACCATGTCAGGAAAGTTACTGTTAATCCAACCATTGCTTGTATGGCGTTTTTTATTTTCCACGAGCTGCCATGGATTCTCAGAAGCTCATCAGGAATGTTTACAGACCTACTAAATCATTTGACAACTTAGGAATTTTGGAATTTTAACACGATCAGGCATTAAGTATCGCAGTAAGGGGATATTAATGGGCGGCTTAACCTTCCAGAGTAAGACTCATCCTTTAAGGTCAATACCCCACACATGGGGGGGGTGCAGCGGTACTTGGAGTGCTGGTTTCTCTGCCCGAATTTAGGGTCGTGATTTTTAACAACCCACGATCCCTATTGGGGTCACGGTGACATCGAGCATCACTTTGATACTAAAGACCTATGAGACCTGAGTTGAGTTACTAACCAAACTTCTGTTCCCAATACAAATCAGGTCCTTAATGAAGACAGTGTCTAGGACCTATGCTTAAAACCAAAGCAAAGCAGTGTCTAGGACCAAAGCAAGATTTTTTTATTTTTGAGAAAGCAGGGTCAGTCAACCCCAAAACAACTGGGGTTAAGGGCCTTGCTCAAGGGCCCAATGGTGAATCACTCTGCTGATCCTGGGATTTGAAGCGGACAGCTTCGCAGCGTCCCAACCCACTAAGCTTGCACTACCACCTGACAGTTTATTGCTAATTAAATAGCTAAACAATTACATCTACTGTTTAATGGTTTGCCGTTACTGTTTGTCAGGGAATCATGCTGGGATTGGAAGATTAATGGAGAAGCAAAGCCTACCTGTGAATCTGTCCATTCTTATGGAGGTACTCCAACCCCTCCAAGACCTCCTTCAAGATGGTAGCTATGCTCGGTTCATCCAGGACTCCGGACTTGTGCTCCCCCCTCGAAATGATGTGCTTGATAATGTCAAGCACCGAGCCTGGGGGAAGACGGAAGGTGAGAATGAGGGTAGTCATAGAAAGGCGCGGTCAGAACACGGTCAGCTATGCCCATCATGGTCACCAGCTGCTAACTTTGAAAGGGTTACATTGATGGTTTTGCCTTTTTTCAGACAAGACTCAGTCATCACTCAACAATCATTAACTAGGGACTGTCAGCTCCGGACTGTTAAATAAAGTAATTAAGTTAAGTCTTCTTTCAATCTTTAAACACAGTATTAAACAGCAGTAAATTCTAATATTTCATGTACTGAAATGAAATCAAAGCCTCCACACATTTTTGAAAATTTTAAAAGCATTTTGCAAGATTTTAATTCTCTAGACTTTAATAAACTGATATGATAAAACCATACAAATCAGATTAGCAAATTTATATTTCAAGAAATCTACTTTATAAATACAGCTACATTTTGGTGATGAACTTGACTGACAGTGTGTCCTAGGACTGTACGTTTCAAGCTGTGCCAAGTACCCTCAGCAGATTCTGAGAACTCGCAAAAACAGCATATATGTACTCATATAATAACCATATACAGGGATTGGACAATGAAACTGAACCACCAGACTTTAGACCACAAAAATTTATTATTATGGTGTAGGGCCTCCTTTTGCGACTGATACAGCATCAGTTCATCTTGGGAATGATAGGTACAAGTCCTGCACAGTGGCTAGAATGAAGACTATGAATATTGACACTATGAAACTCCGGACAAACAGTTTTGATGGAAGCAGGAGAGTCGAGGTTCGCATTTAATTCTGCAGTGAGTTCGCAGCTGTGGTTTTATGTTTTTTGGATACAGTCCAGATTAGTACCTGGACGTCAATTCAGACAGCTACCTCTTGCGTCCAGAGTTACTCCTGTTGGATGTTGTCCGTCCTTCGTGGTGGCATGATGACATTACCCTGGATTCTGTGTCTCTCGATACACCACAAAGACTTGCTGCCCTGGTCATAGACACACCAGCGAGAAACACACCAACTATTTGTCTTCTTTTGAACTGTTATGTGTCTCCCATTATGCTGTGTGGATTGCAATATTTTATGTAGTTGTGCTATTGCTCTGGTAAATCAACCTTCACACTCGGCTCTTACTGATGTAATGTGCAATCAGTGAGGACTGGCCCCCAGGCCATGCATATATAGGCATCAAACCTTAAACACTATATAGGCCAGTGTTTCAGTTTCATTGTCCTACCCCTGTAATTGCATATTCTAGAGTAATATCAATAGTCAAGTAGCAGTGTCCATTGTAAATCTTCTGTTAATGTCAAGGATTTTTTCCAGCAAAATGCAATGCAAACATCCTCTCCCCCAGGGGGCTCCCTTTTCTCCTCAGCAGTCTAATCTCTGCTACACGGAAAACATGTGTCAACACACTCGGGCCGCTGCTTCCCGCTTCCCGGCTGTGCCGAGACCTACCCCTCTTCCATATCCCAGTGTCTGAGAAATTGGGGGTTAAGGGCCTTGCTCAATCTGCCAGCTCGGAGTTGTGAACCTTCTGATCACCTGCGTCACCACAGGGGAGACAGACCGTCCCACATCTGCACTTTCTCACACTGTGCTTTAGCAAAACCACTCCTGTAAAAACCTACAGCCACCTGAAAGACACCTGTCCGCTCACCACCGGCACCTTCCGCTGAGGATTCTTCGAGACCACCAAAGCACAACCTGAGGAGACGCCACCCCTCAAAGACTCATGGGAACCTGAAAATGCCCCCTTGGCAAGCATTATAATAGTCTAATGTAGGTGGGGAAAAACAAGTAAAATGAGAATTCTGAAGCAAAATGTTGTAACGTTAAGATGAGTCGAAATGACAACAAATAAGCAATATTTTTTTAATCACAAAAGAAGAAGTACAATTTTCGGATTAGTTTCGCCTCAGAAAATTTAATCAGTTCTTCATTTGTACTGACAGATCTCATCAAGTACATCGGAGCTTACAGGCAGGAGATATTAACAAGTCAATGAACTGACAGGACGTGTGTTTTACTGAAAACAGGATGCACTGTCTTGGGTTCTTCCTGTAGAATGCCAGCCCGTTTAAATGACAAGGAAGCACACATCAGACCCCGGCTGAGCTGGAGCTTCACGGAGAAGCACACATTTAGACCCTTTCCTGATATGCAGAAATCTCTGCTTGATGTATGAACGCCTGGGTATGGTGAGGGATTCCCCTGCAGGGCATTAGAGGGAGAATCTCACAGAGATTAAAGCCCTTGTGACAGACTCGGGGGGGATTAAAAAAAAAAAAAAAAAAAAAGAGAGGAATAAGTGAGAAAACACAAGATACTCTTCTATTCTCAGACCCTCAGACTTCATGAACTGATGAATGCAAGAAAAAATGTGAAACAGGAAACCCCATTCAGTCAGGAGAAAGACAACCATGTGTGGAACAGAAAGGTACCTTTTCATGGCAGATGATTAGGCCGCTTGTATAAATTATGATGATTCAGGCCTGGTATAGAGGGCAATATAAAGACAACCCAGAAATTGAATAACTTGTCCCTTTTCTAGTCAAAACACCTTCTCATGCCACTATATCCACAGCCACTGGTCGGTAGGTGGTTGAAAACTTGAAACCAACCTCAAACCAACTTTATTCAGGTTTCAGAGCAGATAACTATGATTCATGTGTGCTGTAATTGAGTCACTATGAACATCCATACATCACCTTTTATTCAATGCACACTGGTGCAAGCTTATCTTCTACTGATTGTAGCTGAGCTGTAAATTTCTTATGTTCTTATGTTCTTCAGTACTGTTACTCAGGAGCTCCACAGGGTCAACATTCATAGTCAGCCTGCTATAGCCAAACATTTGGTCACTCGTGCCAAGCACAAACATTGGCTTCAATGGTGCCAGCAGCAGACATCTTGAGCTGTGGACCATGTGAAACATGTATAGTTTTCTGATGAGTCACTTCACTGTCTTTCTCACATCTGGGAGAGTTAGAGTGGGGAGAAGCCTCAAAGATGCTCACCACCCGGACTGTTGCGTACCCAGAGTGCAACACTGGGTTGGATCAGTGATGGTTATAGCTGCAATATCATAGCATTCCCTAGGCCCACTACTTGTTCTAGATGGGCACATTGCTACTAAGCACTACCTAACTATTCTAGAGGACCGTGGTCACCCAGTGGTTCAAACATTGTACCCTTAGGGTGGTGTCATGTATCAGGATGATAATGCACAAAAACACACAGCAAAACTGGTGACAGAGTGCTTTGATGAACATGAAAGTGAAGTTGAACATCTCCCACGACCTGCACAGTCACCAGATCTGAATATTGAGCCATTTTGGGCTGTTTTGGAGGACTGAGCCAGGAAACATTTTCCTCCACCAGCATCATGTAGTGACCTGGCCACGGTTCTGCAAGAGGAATGGTTTAGAATCCCTCTGGCCTCTGTGCAGGACTTGTATCTGTCATTCCCAAAGATGAATTGATGCTGTATTGGCCACAAAAGGAGGCCCTACACCATGCTAATTGCTGTGGTCTAAAACCAGGTGTTTCTGTTTCATTGCCCAACCCCTCTAAGACAGAAAAATACAGTTAAAAATACTGCTTAAAAAATAGGACTTTGAAAATGGGCAATGAGACTGAATGAAGAGAAAGGTGGGTTGTGGGAAGAACCTGCAGTACCTGGAGGGACCTCACAGAAACGTGCAAGATTCAAACTCCCCACACACAGATCAGGTTATGGGAATTGAACCCCCATCCCTCTAGGCTATTGACCTTTTCGAGATCTAATCACATGGAGGGAAAGTACACAAGACAAACTGCTGCCAATTTTTCTTTGGGAAGGTGAGATGAGCAACACAGATCCCGCATAAGTACTTCAGCCAGAAGGCAGGAGGTCTAGCATTGGAAGGATCTCTTTCAGCACAACCTGTACCAGAACCAAATCAAAACCCTACAACCCTGCATTCAGGATATTTACATTCTGCACAGTGAAATCAACATGGATAAGCTAGACAGGTCATTTTTATCATTTTATTTATTTAGCAGATGCTTTTATTCAAAGTGCACAATGGAGAAAGTAGGGTCAGACAGTCCCTGGAACAATTTGCGGCAAAGGGCCCAATGGTGAAATCACTTTGCTGACCCAGTGATTTGAGTCGGCGGCCATCCAATCACAGGCATGGAACCCACTAAGCCTCACACTGCCCATAGAGATAGCTAACAAAGGTAGTGCCATTGTGACAAGCGTGAGGTGATCTGTGAATTGAATCTCTGCCTAAATCATTCTAGTCAATCAGGATGAAGCACAGAAATTCAAATAACTATGAAGCACAGAAGCAACTTTTGGGGCCATATATATATATATTTTCTCTCTTTTTTCCTCCTTTTTTCTCTCTTTCCTTTTTTCTTTCTCTTCCTTTTTTTCCTCTTTCTTTCTTTTCTTTTCTTTTTATGGGGCCATATTTAAAGAAGTCGAAACATATTTCAGTTCAAGAGGACGGTGGCTAAAACTAGGTTTTCCAATGGAAAAAAATTTATTAAATGTCTACAAAAATACAGTCAACAATTAAATCAGACTAAACTGAACAATTTCAATGAATAACAGAAAGCAAAAAAAATTTAAAATCTCAAATATAAAAATAAACTGCAGTGTCGAAGTGGAGTGTAACACTGAAATAAAATGTATTGAGCAACACCACTCTGTGCTATACTGTTAAACTCCAGAAGTAAGATACTTTGTTTTTAAATAAACTAATAGCAAAAACCAAACTGGATTTAACACAGGAAAAGTAGTACAACATATCATACTGATCACAATATACTGGCATTATCTGCGGAGCCAGGGGGGGTTCTGTGCATTTTCAAGGCAATGCTACTTTGGGGAATCTGGATATTTCCATGTCTCAGAGTTTCATGTGATCAAAGAATGCAACTATATCAAGACCCACGTGTTTAAAGGCAATTTAAAAGACTTTAACACTTCTTACTTGTCATAATGAATCACAGGCTCTGGAGTGGAACACACACAGAGTAGCCTAACAGTAGCCTATTCATCCATCTATCCATATCCATCTTCCTAACTACTTATTGAGTGCAGCCACACAGTGACAGTAGACTTATATTATTCTTAATTAAGCACTTAATTCCACAATACTAGGGGATTTGGACCAATAAATATTGACTTGGAAGGACTTTGAAGGACAAGAATTGGGTGAAAGTTAGTACCTTAGTATTGTATTATTAAAGCCTTCCCAACTTCCACAATAATTACGCAGGGCAGATGTACAGATAAAAGGGTTTCTATGGCATTATACATCTCCATGGCAATAACCATAGAAGATGAAAGGCCTACATTGTTCAACAGTTTCCTCATATTCTTAGAAGAGCGGTTACAGAATGCAAGGAATGGAGATGGACCAATCAAATGGTCTGACTTAAATCTTGCTAGGAAATCCTATTAAGTTGAAAAAAAGCAGACCTCAGTGTATCCAGGCCTGCGCCCGTATTCGTTATGGGAAATAGCAGCCAATAAAAATAAAGGAGGTCTCATTTGGAAATCTCCTCCACGCCACTGTCATTTAATTACACACCACAGTAAAAATGAGCCTCAGAAGCTCAATTAAAGAGAGGCTGAAATGTAGCACTGGGAGTAATACCATGCCAGCTGCAGAGAGGCGGCACAGAGAGCGCCCCCTAGGGGCGATGGCTTTCCCATTTCCCCTGATAAATCTGATTTTTTTTATTCCTCTAAGGAAAGACTGGCACATTCAGCAGACGTACTGGTTTCTCTTTCAGATATGCATGAGTGTCACATGCATTTCGTATCATCATTTTCATGTAATGTCAATACACAAGACTGTGAGATACATCTGGGTAATGGGATGCAACATATGACAAACAATAACAAAACCACAGATCAGTAGATGCTGTAACTATATTCCTGTTTCCATAAATGCATCAATATAATAGTCATTTTTCAGCTCTATCAATTTAAGGGCATGCAGGACACGAAGCAATGCTAAAAATACAGGGTCACTAATCCACTAATTATCCAGTTGGTTTACTAGTTAATATGTTTTTTAAACTTTTAGACAGGAATGCTCTCGTTATTTTCTAGTTCTAAGATGTATCGTAAGAAGCAGTGTTTTCAGACACGGCAGATGTACTTTATTTGACACACTGACATTGGTTTGTCACCATGTCGGCTATTTACACTCCCGTCATGTCACACAGTGACATAGATATGTTCCAGTCATTTTAAAACAATACCAAAAAAATTACAAATTTAAAACAGGAAAATAAGAAAAGAAATGATTAACATTATCCAACCATCCTCATTATCCATCCAACACATGGTCTTATGGGGGGGAGAGACACAACAGCACCAACAACAGCAACAACAACAGCAACAACAACAGCAACAGCAGCAGATAAGCTTGTATGAGCCCTGTGATGGACTGGCACCCCAATCATGGCCTATCCCTGCCTTGTTCTCTGTGTTACCTGGGATAGGCTCTAGACCCCCCCATGACCGTACTCAGGGGTGCTTACAAAGGCTTAACAAAAATGGGCCTCAACTTACCTTTTTAGATAAAAGTAAAAACCACACCTCCCCCCCCCAAAAAAAAAACAAAAAAACATATTATATAGCCCTGGGACTTTTGACCATGTTAATGTGCTGTTGCTGCTATAGCCAAGTAGAGAATGGATGGATGGATGGATGAGATTGGCAATAATAACACAGTGTGTAAAACTCCACCATTGTCAAAGTCTTCCTCCTCCGCTCCTGGCCACATACTGAACCGAAAAAAAACCCCACAGAAGAACCACACATGCCGTCTCCACACGGGGGAGAGAAACGCCCGGAGGACACGACGCCTGGAGGACACGGCGCCCGGAGGACACGGCGCCCGGAGGCACACACATGGAGGGGGCACACACATGGAGGGGGCACATGGGAACGCGCTGGGCGAATCTAAGCCGAAAGTCCAGAGTGAAAGCGGCCAAGTGTTCGGTCCTCCTTAATGAATTCTTTTAGCCACTACAATGTTCACTGCTACCTTACTGTTCATGGGGACTTGGGTTTGGGGGGCGTAGGGGGGTCTAAGAGAGAAAATCAGCTGGAGGAATGTGCAAATGAGGGGGGCACATACAGCACGCTGGGGCAGCCAATGAGAAGGCGGTGGGTGACGGGTGAGACTTACCCCCGCTGAGCAGCTTCATCACCAGCCAGAGCTCGTCCTTGACCACGAAGGAGGTGTAGTAGGACACTATGTTGGGGTGGTGGCACTGGCTCATCGCCTGGATCTCTTTCTGTTGGAAGAGGGGGAGGTGATTTAATATGCCATGCAGTCGCCAGCCAATCAGGAAGACTCTTCTGAACAGGAGCCCCATTTCATTGGTTAACTCATTAAAGGCCCGGCAGGTAGGCCGCCCCTACAGAGTGGGAAGAATAGGGTTAAAATGACACAAAATAAAACCTGCCCTGTTATTCTTCACGCCCATTTCTTCCAGACCAATTCAGCAACACTCAAAGACGGGGTGAACATAGAGGCTTTCAAAGCTACGTTGTTACGTTGACAAGAATGAAAAAAATAAGAAAATAAATAAAAACATAGCGCAAGGCTGCAAGAATTAAGTTACTTATCCTAATCTGGCCTTTCGTAGCTATCTCACTCTAAACAGCAGAACGAAGAAACAAAAAGAACTGAGCCAAACCTAAGAGAGAAATGCTGATGGAGAAAACAAATTCTAATCAGTGCAATAATACATGTTCAAATCTCACGGCTGGCAGAGGGATTATTTCCTTATTGGCCACTTGAGCAAACTGCCTGCCCTGCGTTCTGAAAAATGTCTGTCACTTTGGATAAAAACGTCTGCTAAATTATATGCGTGTCTATACAGTGTGTGTGTGTGTATATACTGTATATATATATATATATATATTATAAAAACATTGTGGGAAGCGACTGTAGTCTTCTGCTTTATATTCAGCTCTGATGGCTCTATCAGAGCATTAAATCCCCTTTGCTATTTCCCTTTATTCAGACACCCTGAACCGCTGGAGTGAGAAACAAGGGAGTAATTTAAGTCACATGACAGAGAGGCTGCTTTAATGCACAGGTTTGCCCGGGCTGAAGCCCAGGGACCTCTACTAACAATCCATCCTATTTTGAACCAATGCAGGACGCGATTTGCCCCATATTTTAGCGTCCTGACCGAATTTCAATTTAATCCAGACCAAGTGATCGATCCCCACCCCCACAGTTCGACAGCTGCATCGTAGAAAAAAATAGGGGGCCTTCTGAAAAACTACACAGGCCAGAGGTTAATGTATCTATGGCAATACAGTCTATCATCCAAAAAGATGAAATTAGAAAGGCAGTAACCGGATATATAGGTGCACTTGCGCTCATAAACATGGTCACCTGGGTGACATCTGTTGCACTTCTGCCAAACTGGTTTCATTTACAGAAACCCTGAGGGTCTGGTCAGCTGCAATGGCCTGGAGCCCAGAGCCCAAAATGAGAAAGTGGGGAAGAAACTGCCCAGCGGTGACTAATTCCACCCTGGCTGGATCCCAGCTGGTCTTAAGCAACGGATCAGCTTGAATAGAACAACTCTATCGATAATTAAACAAAGAAAAAGAAATGCTAAACAACTGAGAGTAAGGGACCAGGTTAGGCCTGTGGGGAAAAGCTGCATCAAAAATCTGGCAAGTGACACAAAAAGGTGCCGTCAGCAGCGACCGGACCCATGTACTGCACACCGGTGTCTGACCCAGGTATCCAGAGAGGCTCAGTGGCCAGAGCAGGCCGGACCCATGTGCTGCACACCGGTGTCTGACCCAGGTATCCAGAGAGGCTCAGTGGCCAGAGCAGGCCGGACCCATGTACTGCACACCGGTGTCTGACCCAGGTATCCAGAGAGGCTCAGTGGCCAGAGCAGGCCGGACCCGCCGGCCCCCCCAAGGCTGGGAGGGAGCGTCCAGCTGGGTCGGCTCCGCCCTCAGGCCTCAACATGACATCAACTGGGACATGACCAGGAGAGGAACACGTCAGATTACCCCAGTTTCCAAGAAGAAAGCAAACAGGGACAGACAACAAAGCATTTAACACACACACACACACACACACACACACACACACACACAGGTCTGTAATTATGTCTTTGTGGAGATTCTCCAGTCATCATTTCTATGGGCAAAACCCATAAACATGAAAACAAACATATATATATATATTAGGGCTGGGCGATATCATATCGATATTATATCGCACATGTGCAATAATCACCGTCCTGGTCAGGTGACAGACGAAGCATTTGGCCGGACACCAGCTTTTCGGTGATATACGGACATTAATTTACGCCCATAATTTGGTAAGAGGATTAGTAGTATGGCTTAAATATTTATGCATTTTGTGATACCCCAAAGTTAGTGATCTGTATAAACTTTTAATGTTAAATGTTTCTTAAATTCGATTAGCGGAGCACCCCACCTAATACTGTTTTGCTATACTATGGTTTGGTATACTACGGTTTGGTATATAAGTCACAGTGAAGAAGAGCAGCTACAACATCTTTTAAAAGAGGAGATCTTCTGGATAAACAAGGTAAAAAGACGTCGGCGCTGTGGTGGTACTTTTTGCAGTTCAAAGTCTGACACATTTATTAAACATATTTATACTAATAATGACTTTTGGACGTCATACAAAGCCTCATTAACATTTGAGCCATATTACTAAACTGCTTAAATTGTGGGCGTAAATAAATGTCCGTATAGCACAGAAAAGCTGGCGCACTGCTAAATGTTGCGCCTGTCATCTGAAGCCCTGATGATTATTGCGCATGCGCGATATAATATCGATATGATATCACCCAGCCCTAATATATATACAATAAAAATACAGAGCATATTATGAAAAATGTAAAACAAACTATAATTTTTAGCTATATGGTTTCCATCTAGGGTCAGATTAATGTACAGTATAAACTATCCCCTGCTACAGCCTGGGGCAGCATTCCTCAGTCTTCAAGGACTCCCAGCCAGTCTGTATTTTTGCTCTCTCTCAGCTCTCAGCACAACTGCACCGCTTATGGGAGTTGTACTTGGACAAAAATGTTCTGAGGGCAGAAGGAAAAATGATTGGTTCAGTGAGATAACCAGTCACACTGTAGAGGAGGTGGGTCCAAGCAACTATACCAACCAATCAGATGTCATGGTCAGGCACCCTCTAGTTGCTCCTCCTCTACAATATGATTGGTTATCTCTCTGAACCAAACATTTTTCCTTCTGCCTTCAGAAGAGTTTTGTGTAATACTCCCACAAGCAACTACACCAGTTGTTTGGTGTTGCTGATTGGCTGGGAGCTGGGTGGGAGCAAAAGCATGGACTGTGTTTGGGTCCCTGAAGAGCAGGATGAGAAACACTGGCCTAGGATTTGGGCAAACATCAGGGCCCTTTAATACTTCAGTTATGGTGCTGTTCCACTGCCACTAAGAACCGAGCTGTACTGCAAACTGGTTCCATTATAAATTATGCAGGCCGTACCTGAACTGTACCGGAGCCGTACCCGGACTGACATGACCCTGCTTACTAGTGGGACCAAAAGTGTGACCAAACTGGGCTGGTTGCGTCTCCACCGTCTGGTTGGTCGAAATGCAGGGAGACACCAGTGATCTGTGTCGATGCCAGTGGAATAGCAACACTAGTTAAACCGACAACACCTGAGCGCCAATGTGTACATCAGCCTACGACCCCCAGATAAGATGATCCACCCTTGTTTCCATCCTGCTGTTAAGATCATCTGTTTCATTGTAAAACCCCACCATCCAAAATCCTGATATGCTTTTAGTCAACTGAAGAGGCAACGTCCTGTCTGATTCATTCACGACATCGGGTTGATTAAACCTCACACGTGGTCTCCCCCCCCCCCAGTCTAAATCCAACCTGCCTTTGATCGCCACCAGCCGCATGGAATTTTCTACAACCGGCATGTGAAATAAGACTGCGAGCTAAGTGGGGGCATAGGCCTTCTTCTGAAGCCCAAAGCATCCTTTGATCTCCGTTTGAAGATCATGAAACCTAGAAGCCCAGAGGAAGTCAGGCCGAGACTGAATCATCATCAAATACGAGTTAAAAGACAATTATTACTAACTTTCAGAAAATGAAAAGCATAAGAGATACAGGAATGCACAGGTTTCTCAGAGTAACAGTAATAATTCAGCAAGAAGGAGCAAATCTAGTCCTATCCTTCTATTCAGCTTCCAATCACTTATCCTATACAGGATTGCAAGCTTGGAGTCTATTCCAGGCAGCACAGGGAAAAGGCAGGATGGGACAGCAGTCCATCACAGGGTGCACACACTAGAAACAATTTACGGGCACCACTGCAGGAAGACACCAGAGTTCGGAGAAGAAACCCACACAACAGGGAGAATCTGGAAAGGCAGTGTTTCCCAACCCAGTGCTTTGGGAACCCCAGACAGGCCACATTTTTGCTCCCTCCCAGCTCCCAGCCAATCAAGAACATCAAAAACCTGGGACACATGTGTTGGGAGCTGGGAGACAGCAAAAATGTGGACTGACTTGGGGTCCCCGTGGATGGGGTTCAGAAACACTGAGATGAAGTGTTAAAAATTTTATTTACCTGGAGCCTTTATTGCATTGTACTGACAAAACTAGAGTGAATGAGTATAGATTTGTGGATGCGGATACATGACAGGAGAAAGATCTTCAAAAGAAAACTCTGTCATGGCCTTGTTTTCAGTTCTCCTAGATAGTTTAATAATTACTGATTCTGATTGGTCAGAGGCTTCACACCTGGCTCACAGGTGAAGGAAGGCAGGAAAATCAGCAGGGCCTGGCCCTTGAGGACCGTGAGTTGAATAGCCCTGCACTATGTGAATAAAAGCCCAATGATTTCTATATATTTACATTGAACTGATGCTCAATGCATGTAACAGGTAACAAAAAAAACTCTTCCTTCTGGTATATTCCCTACGAGTGTTCTAGATAAGTAGTACAGTCCATCAAACAGCAGCTACCTGAGAAAAAAAAGAAAAGAAGCACTGCAGCTTTAAATTGGTTGCCAGGACAGCAGACGACAGAAGCACTTCAGGCACGGCTGTGCTCAGTGCCACACTCCCGCCCACCAAGCACCCCCCACACTCTGCTTTAATTACCCTGGGCTCTGCGGTAAGGCTGACAGCGAGATCAGCAGCGGCTGTCCCCGCCGCCTCCCCGGAGCTCACGATGACAGCGAGAGACCCCGCCCCCACGTCCTGGAGCCCATCCATGCCGATTCTGCCAC